AGGCCCGGCACCTCCCCCTCCCACAGGCCCGGCACCTCCCCCCCCCCCAGGCCCGGCACCTCCCCCCCCCAGGCCCGGCGCACCTCCCCCCCACAGGCCCGGCGCACCCCCCCCCCAGGCCCGGCGCACCCCCCCCAGGCCCGGCACCTCGCCCCCCCCCCAGGCCCGGCACCTCCCCCCCCCCCCAGGCCCGGCACCTCCCCCTCCCACAGGCCCGGCACCTCCCCCCCCCCCAGGCCCGCCGCACCCCCCCCCAGGCCCGGCGCACCCCCCCCCAGGCCCGGCACCTCCCCCCGCCCCAGGCCCGGCACCTCCCCCTCCCACAGGCCCGGCACCTCCCCCCCCCCCCAGGCCCGGCACCTCCCCCTCCCACAGGCCCGGCACCTCCCCCCCCCCAGGCCCGGCACCTCGCCCCCCCCCCAGGCCCGGCACCTCGCCCCCCCCCCAGGCCCGGCACCTCGCCCCCCCCCCAGGCCCGGCACCTCCCCCCCCCCCAGGCCCGGCACCTCCCCCCCCAGGCCCGGCCTCTCCGCCGGCGCCCAGGAGCCTCCCTGCCCTGAGTACTTCCAGACGGGACCCGGCCGGCTTCACCCCGGGCTCCAGGACTGGGTCTTCCTGCATAGCAGGGATCTGCGGCGGCAGCGCAGGTCTGTTCACCCTCCGCTGTGTTTCCCCACGGCCGGGACGGCCCGCACCCCAGGCCCCGCCAGCCAGTCCCACGGGGAGAGGGAGCCTCGCCTCCGTCCCCACTCGGAAGGAAGAGCTTTCCCCGCGTTCCCTGTGCGGCTCTCCCCTCACAGCTCATTGGCAGAAGCCCGGTCACATGACCACCACCAATCCCGGGCCCAGGGGCGCAGACGGGGCACCAAGGCTCAGCCAATCATAAGGAGGCGTGGGCGGGGCCAAGGCTGCAGCGCTTTCCCCGCCCCCTGCGCAGGTTCCGTGTCCTGAGGTCAGGGTTCTCTCTGTCCCTCTGCTGCCTCCCACCCTGCTGGGCACATGTGCGCTTTCTGATAGACAGACAGACAGACACTAGAAAATCTAAAAGTGGAAATGTGGCTGGCATTATATTTTTATTCTACCAAACTGTTTTGGAGTAGGAGTCAGCAGTTTATAGCCCTTAGGCCAGATCCGGTATGTTGCCTGTTTTTGTAATAAAGTTTTATTGGAACGTGCTCATTTAGCTGTGTTGTCCGTGGCTGCATTTGCATTATAATGGCAGAGCTGAGTGTTTGTGACAGAACTGCATGGCCTTAAAACCTCAATACTTTACTAGGTGATCTTTTAAAAAAAAAACAACAGTGCTGACTCCTGCTCTAGATTATAAATTCTGCCCACTAGACCTTAAGCCCAATATTTTGTTCATCCTTAGTTCGTAAGGTCTTGCCCTTCAGGGTCTTAATAAGTATTTATCAAATAAAGGTAATGAAAGAGTGAGGAGTTTTGATGATGTATTCTTTAAATCTTTAAAGTGTGAGAAAGAATGTAATTTTTCTGGAGATGGTAGTTTGGTGGAAATATGGGAGATTTAGATCAGGCTCTAAGTTTAATTCTGTGTCTACGGTAGAAGACAAAGAGTTAAAAGCTGACATGAGTGATATAAATGAGGGACTGGACTGGGTGTCAGGAAATAGGGAGTGGTGAGGACTGGAGTACATGGAGGAACACATATCTGACTAAAGGGGCAGCTGCCGTTCCACGTTGGCCAACGGGGGCCATGTGGGACTGTGGGCTAGGTGTGGTATGAGCTTCTGCTCTTCTCAAAGGAAGCAGGAAATTCACATATTTTCATTTAAATCTCCCCCATTTGAACATGTTAAAAGCTAATTTAATTTTTTTAGAACAATGGTGAGCCAAACCAAACGTGATTTTAAGGTGATCTGACCAAGGGTGTCCAAGTAACTTCTTTATGGAGAGGTAATTGCTAATGAACACAAGTGGTTTTAAGTCAGCTTGGCTTCTCTACCCAAGGAAAGCTTATTCAGCAGGCCATGATTTATTCACCTGTTCATTCGTTCACTTATACATTCAACAGGTATTTCCTGAGGGCTGCTTATATCTCCCAGGCACTGTGCTTAGGGCTTCTCCATGACTAAGCTGTGTTCATTCTGACAGCTGAATGCTTATCACTGATGAATGGGTTGTCACAGGGAGCAAAGTAGATAATACCTCTGATGGGCTTTGTCAAATATAACATGATATGCTAATGTGAGCTATTTTTGTTTATTACTGTATGTAAAAACCCAGCCAGTGGTTGATAAGACATGGAGAAATCTAAGGTCTTGAGATTTTGAGGATTAAGGATACATGCTAAGCAGTGTCATTTTGTCTGCTTTTAGGTTTTCTTAAAAACCATGGGAGAGGTTCTTCAATTGCCCACTTGGATTGATGTGTCAGAGGTAAGAAAAAATAGAATATTTTTGATTTTCAAAATGTATATACTTTGGGGACCGGTGTGTCTTCCTGGAAGTGGTGTAAATATGGCCCAATTCACATCCCTAGGAGAAATGATGCATCTTCCAGTCTTACTATCTGGGACATTTGAGCTCATTTTGACCAGATATACAGATTGGAAGTGCCTCATCTTCTGTATGGCTCAGGAATTGTGTGGGTGTTGGTAATGTGTTATTCTCCTCAACACCAAGCAGGGAAATGGTTGCATTTCTTCATGAGGAGTGGATACTTGGTTGACCTCTATGTATCATTTTAATAAAATATTTTTCACTGTCATATTGTTCTTGAGTGGTAATAAAAAAAAAAGTGTTTTATGTTTAGAGATCACTAGATTAAGTGAAAAAAGTGAAACATGTGACAATATGTATTTCATGGTTATAAACATAAAAACCAAAAAAGCTTCTTTTCCCCTGAACTCCAAATAATTAGGATAATGGAATATATATATTTAAAAGTAACTTCGTTGACTTTACTATTTAACAAATAAAACAAGTTAATGTGTTGTAGAGAAGGTAGAAACTGCAGATAATAAACACCGTATGAAAGAGCAGTCACCTAAAGTCCTAAGGCAGACCATGACTGTGAGCACTCTCGTACATGTCCCTTCCTGTCTTGCTTTTGTTTCACTTGCATGCACATATATTGTACAAATACACTGATGTCTGATTTAATCTGGTTGTCTTTAGCTACGTGCAGGACCATTTCCAGCGACACTGGGCATATCAGGCAGCCTAGGCGAGGCTGTGCTGTGGTAACAAATAGTCCCCTGCATTTCAGTGGTGTACACAGTTGAAACTTACTCCTCACTCATGCAAAGTCCAAAGTGGGTCCGAGGAGCATTTCCTCAGTCCAGTGACTTTGGGGTCCTGGCTCTCTGTCCATTTTCTGATGATGCGGTCTCAACACGTGACGTCCAAGGTTGCCCGGCGGGGTGGAGGACTCTTAACTGCCTCCCTCAGCAGAGCCGCAACCTGGTGTAATATTCAAGTGCCCATTTTCCTGAACCCCTATGATGTTTAAAAAATATTTGGCAGTTTGAGGCAGAAATGCTGCTAATGAGATTGCAGTAGGGTTTATATTTGAACTTTTTATTTGAACAGTTTCAAATGGAATGAGATGGAGTGAACACTGGCAAAGGGAGGAAAAAAGGGGACCTGAATTTAAGACTGATACAGTCTTACATAGAAAGAGATTCTTTTTTAAAAGGCACAACCCTCCAGAGTCCTTGACTTCCAGGGGGAGTCTGTGTATAGGGCTGCAGCATGGGAACCCCCCGAAAATGGCCAGTGGAGGGCCTGAGCAGACCCATTTCATCAGCATCATTTTAAAGTAACTTTTTCTGAATGCTCTGCCACAAAATATGAATAATCATGAAGCTATTCAGATTTAGGCAGGCTCTAATGTGCGTTCAAGAGAAGGTATGAATCAGCTACTGCCCAACAGAATTGTACGCCAGAGACACAGATTTCCCTGTGTTTAACTATGCTCGGCTGATTAAAATCAGGCCACAGACAGGCCTCAAGAAAATGTCTAAAATTGGCCTCAGTGTTCTATTTCCAGCTCATTAGATTCTCATGGCCCGTGAATCTATGAGAGAATGCTAAGGATGCTTAGCAAACAGATGCTTTTCAGAAAGGTGGGGAGGATGGAAGGGGCATGATGGCAGAACGCACAGGCACCGCGCACCTGAGGGGCTGAGAGGCCCTGTCCCCAGTAGCCGTGTGTCTGATGATGAGGGCCAGTCAGCCCCATCTGAGCGGTCTGCAGAGATACGGGGTGACCAAGAGGGACCCCTGCCTTCTTGGGGGCAGCATCCACTGGGATCCTCTCTGTGTTGGGGACTCAGAAGGAGTGAAGGGGCCCTTGGAGGGAAGGGATACACCAGGCAGGTGGGAGGCCAGAGAGGATTTGGGGTGCTGACACCTCCAAAGCATCCCTCCCCTGCATGGAGAATAGGATGAAGCTTCTGGTGTCCTTGTCCTGGAGGGGACTTGGGGGGCATTTAGCCCCCTCCTCCTGAGACAGAAGGGGGCAGGGCAGGGGGCTGGTCAGAGATTTGTGGAGGTGAGTTCAGAGTGCAGCTGGGCCCAGGTCTCTGTCACCTGTGTCTAAGCATAGAAGCCTTGCAGCCAACGGCCCGGGTGACCGGGATGTCTGCGTGCTGTGAGCTCAGCCGGGTGGATGACCTCAGCGACCACTTCCTCACCTGTAAGAGGGCTAGTGCTGGGGGCTCTCCCCCGTTCCTTCTCATCTGCTCATCGAGAGCACAAGCCTGGCCCGCCATGGCCTCCAGAGATGCAGCGTGCTCCTCCCGTGGAGGGGTGCCGCGGGGCCAGCGCGCAGCCTGGCGGAGTGTTCCGCGGGGGGGCCTCGGGTGGGCCTCAGGACACTCGCTGTGCAGGTTCTGTTGGCTCAGTGCCTTCACGTTGTGTTGTGTTCAGGACAACACCGTGGTGCTGGGCTTGATCGAGACCGTCGACACTGTCATGGACCACATCTCTTCCAACCTGGACCCCCGCGAGCCCCAGGTCACCATCGTAGGCTCTTCCTCCATGGCAGGTACTGGTCAGCTCGGTGTGGGATGCGGCCATGGGTGCAGGTGGGGCGGCGGGAGACTCGGGAGGGCAGCCGGCCTGTGGGGTTTGCTCTGACGGCCCCGCGCTCACCTGCACAAGCACGTGCGTACACACTCGTGCACAGGGGCGCACACACCAGGGTGTGCATTTGCACACACAGCGGGCAAAGGTGCACACACGTAGCAGGAAACACTCATCGGCTCAGACAGACCTCTCTGCTTTTCTAAACGACATTGCCCTTAATGAAAATTACACTTCGGAGGGAGAGTGAGAGCGGGGCACGTGTGCTCAGCCATGATGTGGACACAAAGCTACGGAAGCGTTTGATGGCGACCCGGGCCCGGACTGACCTTGTGTAGCAGTCCCCTCTGTTCAGAACAGGAGTCGGTATCAGCAGCTCCTCTGAGTGTCTGTGGAATAAAAGCTGCAGAATCAGGTTTCCGAGAGCCAGCTGGAGGCTTGGCCTGAATCTGCTTTTCCAAGATAATCGGCGCAAAGTCCCTCACGCGCTGACTTCATGGCCCCTCCATTTGAAAAGTCCTTATCTAGGGACCATTGCACTGCTGATACGCTCCTGCAAGAGCCGAACTCCGGGACAGGGGTTGAACTGACCCACGGAGGTTAGTTTTAGGGGGAATTTGTCGGCTGAGCTAGTGACTGATGGCTGGAAGGCCAGCATCTCTGGCACCTTCCTTCTCCTGTGTGTCATGGGTCCCCAGAGTGTGGTGAGGAGCAGCCCTGAGAGCTGACGGGCTGCCCTGAGGGAAGGAGGGGTCACCTTGGGCCACGAGGCCCACAGTGTGTGGCTGGATGGCCGTGTCAGCCATACAGTGGAAATGACGTCCTTGGACCCTTATTTTTGTAGGTCGTCATTTTCTAGAGGTAATTACACCGCCCAGGGGAGCTCGTTCTGTTAACAAAAGCAGAAGCAGATGGGGTTTGACAGCCCAGTTTCCTTTGCTGAGCAGCTTACTGACTGTGGCTTCCTGTCTTTGGCTTGTTCTCAGAGTTTTCTGTGGCCAAACTCCTACCCGAGACCATGAATTCCTCCCACTACCGCTTCCCGGCCTGGGGGCAGAGCTACATCGAGGTTCCCCACAAGGCGTTCCGCAGCCAAGGTGAGTGCAGCTGCTGAGCCCGCCCCAGGACCTCGGGGGCTCGGCCCTTGTGGACGAGCGGCTGCAGTTACCTGGAGGATGCAGCGCCCTCAGGCCTGCTCGCTGTTCCCGCAGGAGCGGCTCTGGGCCAGCACTTCTCAGCGGGTCCTGGTGGGCGCCTGAGATGCTCACTCAGAATGCTGATTCCAAGTGCGCCCCAGCCTCGTGAACTGGAACTGGGGAGGAGGCTGGGAATCTGCATTTTGGACAGGCTCTCGAGGTGATGCTGGTCCACTGTGAAAGACACCTGTGTCCTCCCAGATCGGCACAGTGACATGTCAGCAGAATATGAAGAGACGAGGCCATCCCCCTTCCCCCATCCAGGGTGGCCTCCGGCTAGGTGAGGGGTTTGTCTGCCCAGGGGTCTACTTCCATCTCCGGGGGCTCAGGCAGCTCTGGCCATTTTTGCTACAGTGACAGTCCCTCTGGCCCCTTGAAAAGTGAGTGCCTCCACTGCTTGTCCCTTGGGAAGTCGGGGATGGGCCTGTGGCCTTGGATTCGCAGGTCCTGACAATCCGGCCAGAGGACATGCGATTCTCAGAGACTGGGGACCAAGAGCAGCCTGGGTGGTATAGGATCATGGTGTCCCCTCCCCAGCAAGGAGTTGTCACTCGCCAGCCCTCAGGGGCCCATCTCTGCTCCCTCTATGTTCTTGTTTGCCTGTGTAAAAGGTGCCTGGAGATGTCACAGGACACCCCCCACATGGGGTGAACTACAGAAACGGGGGGTGTCTGGGGATGATGCTGTGATCTGCCAACTACGCACGTGATCTTTGCTCATCTCATACCACCCGGCTGCAGGATCTAGAAACCCTCCGCTTTTCACACTCGGCAGGGCTGTGGCCTCATGCTCTGCCCTGTGGCAGCAGGATTTATTGGTCACAGGGACCGACTGGTGGCTGGACTTCCCAGGCTCCAACCCTGGTTCAGCCACTTACTGGCTGTGTTACTGAACCTGCCTGCATTACAAACTCCTCATCTGTAAAATGGGGACAATATTAGTACTAGACTCGTAATATCGTTTTGAGAAGAATGAGCAAAGCCCTTCTACCTGGCACACTGTGAGAGTGATACGATGCTAAATGTATTCCTGAAATTTTAACATATTCAACGAATATCCCCGAGGAACCCCAGAAGACAGCTAACCACTTCCTCCTCCAAGCGTCCTCTGCTAAGCTAAAAATGATTCCTGTTTCAAAGTCGTCATACAACAGAGAGGTGGGACGTAGCCACAAGGCATGAAGGACGCCTGCGTGATCGCCGCCACTTGTAAATCCTGCATCTGCTGCCTCGCTCACGTCTTCGCATGGCTGCAAATACTCCGTATGCCAACAGCAAACAGGACATACTCACCCAGAGGACGCAGAGATGGCGGCTGGCGCGGTGCCCGCTGCTGGAGCGGGGCCCTCTGCCCTCAGAAACTCTGGCGTTCCTGGCGAGTCAGGCTCTCCCCGGGAGCCGCGGCATCTGCGTGTCTCCCGTCGGCTCAGAGGAGGGGCACGCAGTCCCTGCCACCGTTCAAGCCACAGCTGAAGGGTCACAGAGTTTCTACTCAGGCCCCTGAGAGTCCCGCCCCCACCCCCAGGAGCTGCCCCCGGGTTTTGAGCGTGAGGGCAGGCACGGCGCTCTGCTGGGCAAGCGGGTGTGGCTGGGGCTCTGCCGCTGGAAGGTGACAGGTGTCTGTGACCCTCTTCTTTTCCGCAGCCTGGACCACCATCGTGGGCCTTCTCTACCACAGAATGCACGATTACCTGGACCACATCCAGCCAGCCAAGACCAAGTGAGTGTCTCGGGTGACACGGCAGGGAGAGGGCAGGGAGAGGGCAGCGGGCGTGTGTGCACCTGCCCGCCGGACGGCTGACCGCGGAGACGCCCCCCGCCCGCCCTCCCAGGTCTACAGGGCCGCAGAGCACTCGCAGTGCACGCCTGGGGCTTTTCTATTAGGGCCAGGGCACGGCCGGCGGAAGCGACGCAGGAGCTCGGCGCTGGGGGTCAGCGGGCCCTGGGCGCGCAGGCTGACGGGGCAGGGGGCAGGGGGCAGGGGACCACAGCTGCCCGGAGCTCCCGGTGCGCGGACGAGCGCCTGCACCGCCGAGCCTCGCCGCCGCTTGTGGGGCGGGGGACACAGCACACGCTGCACCAGTCAGGGCTGGTTGGGGGCGCGGCCGCCGGCGGACGGCGGTGAGGCCGGGGGCTCGTGGGGCGGGGCAGGCTTCAGGCACGGCGGGACCCAGGGCCCGGGGAGGCCTCCCGACCTGGCCGCTCTGTCTCCCGCCTGGGCTCGCCTCTATGCTGGCCCCTTCCCAGGCGGGCCCCTCCACAGAGGCACGGCTGGCTCGGGCGGCTCAGGACGCCCCGGCTGGGGTCCCGAGGTCTCGCAAGGGCAGCAGCCTCTGTCCCGACCGTGCGCGTGGAAACTCAGGCAGGGCTGTGATTGGCCCGTTCGGTCATGTACCCATCTGGCTCCTTCCAATCATGGTGGCCGGAGCATCCTGCTCTGTCATTGGCCAGGCCTGCTCACATGGGCTCTGTGGAAACCCGGGGAAAGCTGTGATTGGCGTGCTTGGGTCATGTGCCCACCCTGGCCTCCCCCATCACGGCGGCCGGGCGTGCTCACGTGGCCCCTGCGGCCTGGCGGCGGGTCGGCCCGCCCAGGGCGCGGGGAGAGGCGGGTTCCCGGAGGGGAGGGCAGGGGAGGGAGGCTGGCGCGGCCGCCTCGGGGGCACACGGCCCGCTCCCGAGTGGCCCTGGGCCCGATCGCCCCGGGAAAGCCTGCGCTTTGGCGACATTCCTCGTAACTAAGGGAGGGGACCGGTCACTGCTGCTGTGCGATTCCAGACTCCTTCGGGGGGTTGTCCGAGGGAAATGCCGTCACCTTGCCTTCTCAGCTACCTGGGGGCTCCTCCTCCAGCCCCACATTACGGTGAAGATCGGTGGCCGCGCCCCCCCGCGGGACGGTCAGGCTGGAGCTGGCGTGTCCGAGGCGCGGCGAGCCGGTCCGCGGCCCAAGGGCGAGAGCGCGTGGCGCGAGCGGCGTCCTCCCGCCTCGGCCGGGGGCGGAGAGAAGGCGGGTCGCCCTTCAGCGGGCAGTTCCGGGGCCGAGCAGAACCGTGGCTGGCCGGCGGCCGACGCACCTCTCCACGAAGGGGCACAGTACCTGTCGCCGCGTCCGCAAGGCGCAGCGTGTCCGTCCCGGCCGCTCAGTGGGCCGGGCCGCGCGATCGCAGCCTCAGACGAGACGCGAAGGCACGGGCGGCGTGCCAACGAGCTCGCCAGGCCCCGGCGGCGCCCCAGGCCCGCGTTTGCGCGCCCCTGCCGGCCGCGCTCTTGTGCCAGTGGATGGGGCGCTGGGTGCCCTGCGCTGGGGAGTCCAGGGATGCGCTCGAGGCCTGGCAGCGGGGACAGGCGCCCGCACAGAGGACTCTCGGGAGCCTCGGGCCGGGCTGCACGATCCAGATCGCCGTGGTCAGCTCCCCCTGTCCCCGCAAGCCGTGCGCCCTGGGACTCGCCCAGGCAGAGGGCGCCCCTCGCGGCCCCACCTGTTGGCAGTAAGGCCTGTGGACCGCTTGCACCGTCAGCAGCACATGCGTGCTCAGTTGGTTTCCCGAAGTCAAAACAGGACTATATTGCCGTGATGAGAACGTATTTTTCTTTTTTTAAGATTTTTATTTATTTATTGAGAGAGAGAGTGATAGAGAGAGAGAGCATGAGAGGGGGAGAGTCAGAGGGAGAAGCAGACTCCCCGCTGAGCAGGGAGCCCGATGCGGGACTCGATCCCGGGACTCCAGGATCATGACCTGAGCCGAAGGCAGTCGCTTAACCGACTGAGCCACCCAGGCGCCCGAGAACGTATTTTTCATGTGTGGAATCTTCAGCTTCAGGGAAGTTCTAAGGGCAGCACTTAATGCAGAAGTGTCTTATTGTCAGAATTAGCCTTGAAAAAAAACCGTCCAAGTGGTTCAGCAAGCATGGCCCCTGTACTTGCCGTCTGCCCTCCTGTGGGGTCAGGTGGGACCGGAGTCGGCCAGCAGCGTGGTAGCCCGCAGCGCGGGGTTGGGTGCAGGGCGCCCGGGGCTCTCCGCCCAGCGGGGCCCTTGGCGGCGGTGTGAACCTGGGCGACGCCTGGCCGTCTGGCTGTGTGCTCCCGTCTAGCATAGTGATGTCGACGGACCCATGTGGGAGGCTGCCGGGAGCGCGGAGTGAGTTGACTGTTTAAACGAGGCTTGGTGCTTTTAAGGTGACACGTAAGCACTTGCTTTCATCACCTCATAAGATGGACGTTCTCGCCATGTTGACCGGAAGACAATTCTCAAATTCCACACGCAGTTAGGAGGAGAGGAGTAGAATCAGCAGATAGCATGCTGGTTTGCTCGCCTACACAGCGAGTCCCTTCTCTTTTAGGATCATGCGCTGTGACCTTCATATGTGTACGGTTTTGTAAGAATGAAAGGTGCTGTGGAATTGTAATGTCCTCTCCATCCCCTTTTGGGGTGAGGTGGAGTCAGCACGAGTTTAGTGCATGAAGATGGGGGGTAGGCTGGGACGGGGTCTCCACCTTCACAGCCAAGCCCTGGGTGGGCCGTTCCAAGGACCCAAGCAACCACTCCTGGGGGCAGCGTCTGAGTGGCCACAGGTCCTGGGGGGCACTTGGCCAGTCCCTGCTACAGCCCCTGCACACGGAGGGTCTCACCTGCCCCATCAGTTGGGGGCGCCAGGCAAGCTCCTGGGACTGCCTTTCCCTTCGAGTGGGGCCGAACAGATTGGCCCGTCGGACGGCTGGGCAGGGAGTCTGGAATCACCTGCTCCCACTGCCCCTCTGAGGTGGAGACCCGGGCCTGGAGAGGGGATCACTGCCAGCTGATAGAAGCAGGGCGGTGACTCGGTTCCTGGGTTTCCGTGTCTTGTTGACAGACTCACACGCGCTTCCGACAGATAAGTTCCCGGAGGGTTTGGCTTGGCTTACGTGTCCGCACTTGTTCTTTGTAGAGTAATGCCAACCAAACAATGCAGAAGGAACGACAGAATTGGGAAGACACCATCTTGGAGCCCTAAGTGTAGTCACTGATCAGGGCAAAGGTCATCAGTGAGTGTAGACACCATTGGGTGAGGGGTATTCGGGGGACAGAGTCACTTACTTTACAAAGTGAGCAGGGCACCTGAGAGTGCAGAGAGTGGGCCGGCACCACTTCAGCCAGCCGGTCACGCTCAACATCATCAGCAGTGGGGCGTGCTATCCTGTGTCCCCCGATGTGACACGGTGGCCTGTGGAGTAGGCCTGCCCCACATGCCTGGCCTGGAGCTCCTCGTGAGCACACAGCAGATCCACAGTGAGGGCTGCTTGGCAAACTGTGGCTGCCGCTGCTGAATGGAGTCAACAGCAGAGCACGTGGTCTGGAGGTGGGGAAGGGGGTCGTCACCTGGGGGAAGCCGAGGGCCTTTCTCGTGGGAGTGAGTGCACACCAGGCAGGGGAACCACGGGTGCTCACCGCATCTACCATCTATCACACCATCTGATAAGCACATACCTTGAAGGTAGCTTGACCCAAGGTCACACAGCGGAGTGAGCAGATTGCTGAGACTCGCACCCGGTGCTTCGACCCTTCTGTTCTCCATGCTCCCCGGGCCATGTCTTCTTCCACTGTTATCAGCTCTGTGAGCTCAGGCCCCCATGCCGCCCACAGTGCCGGCATCCAGCCTGGCAGGACAGGTACTGAATGATGGAATGCAGGCTTCGGAATGGCAGCGGCGGTAGGTCTCCTCTGCGGGTACCGAACAAGACCAATCAAACTTCCATCCAAGGAAGATTCCAGGCTCAAAAA